CCCATTTGCCCCACCCCAAGCCTCTCCCCCAAGATCTTCCACTCGACTACCCTACCCCATGCCCTTTTTGTTTTAATCAACAAAGGTACTCCATTTGTTATCAATGTTGTAAATCAAGAACCGCTCCAAAAAATCTAAACTTGTTCGAATAAAAATAAAGGGATTGCAATCTAGAGTATAGTTTTGAAAATAATCCATAGCAAAATTGAAAATATCCAATATAGCATAAGATGAGGTCTCCTTTCCCAATTACTTTCTAGTTTTTTCTTGATGCTGACTTCTTCAGCTTCATAGAGAACCAAATTCATGTACACATCAAAACCAATGATTCGGCCTTCAATAAAGAGCCAGATCTAAATGCGAGCTTTACTTTGAAGGAACCATAAAATCAAATTAATGGGTTGGGTCATAATCCTCTGAACTTTAGTGCTCGCCATGGCGGCGAAATTCAATGGGTTTCGGGTCACCTACTTTTATCTAATAGGTTTTCCTTCTTAGGTTCATGTGGGTTTTAGTTTTGAGGGTATTTGAGTATATTTAACTGAGTTTTTGGCTATTTTTTAAAGTTTTTATAAAAACTGACATTTATGAAAGTATTTGGTAAATTTTGGCTATTTTTGATAAAATCTCTAATTGTTTTTATATGTATTAAATTATTAATAGTTTATTTTTATTTTTATCAAACTTCATTTGATTCACAGGAAATGAATAGTGTTAGTAATAGATCTAGTTTCTAGTGATGGAAATACTAGTAATAATAAGTAATAAATAATAGGGAGAATGAGGATGAAATATCAAATTTTTTTTTATATTATTTTTTAAATATATATTATTTTAATCGCCGTATCAGTACAATATCCTAATTTTTTAAGATTTGCTGTATCGGTGTATTGTATCGTATCTCCGTACCCATATCCATATCGGTGCAACATAGGCTATTTAGAAAAGCAGCAATCACCACTTTTTGTGTCATGTATAAATTATAATGTGCAATCCAACACTCCTTTCCTTTTTTTCTGGTCAATGTTTTTTAAAAAAAAAAAAAGGAAAGGAGGATTGGATTGCATATATATGACAGGACAGACAATCCGCTTTTCCTTAAGCTTGTTTGAAACCAACCCTTATAGGCTTATATAATCATATGAATTGAATTGAATTTAGGGTTAGGGTTTGGGTTAAGGTAACGTTCTAACTCGTACGAGAGCAGAACAGAGCCTCCTATACTATCATGGAGAGTCTCGTCGCTGAGCTCACCTCGGCTGAAGATCTTCAGGACCAGCTAATAAAGATGACTGTACGGCGAGATGAGCTCTACGCCTGGTTTCAGGAGATCAGGGAAGCCATAAACGCCGTTGATCTCGAGAAATACAAACTGAAAAAGGAGGTGATTCGCCTAATAGAAGAAACGACCACTCCAAATATCCCGCTGATTGTCTACGACGGTACAAACAACGACAACAACATTGTTAATCCTTACCCAAGGTCAGTCAGCGGCATGGCTTACTGGATTAATGTTTGTTTTACATAAATTCTCTCTCTCTCTCCCCCCCACTGTTTGCTTAAGTTTTCTCTCGTTGTTGTGGCTTTGACCTTGCTTGATTAATTATTCTCTCTAGGTAGCTAGGTGTTTGAAAATATTAACACGACATGTTCTATATATATATATATATATATATATCTGTCCAGCTTGCCCATGGTGGGGGACCATACATCGAGGACGGCAAATAAGGGGAAAGCCAGTTCTATGTTTGTAGTGGTGAAGTATATTGAACCCCATACAGTGGTGCAGTATTTGAAATAAAATTAAAACGAGGAGGAGAAGACCATATGGGCTGTGGTGCCGGAAGAGAAGGAGTCACTCATGATGAACCCCAACTACTTGAACCTATAGTCAAGTTATTTGGTTGTTATGCGATTCAGACTGCGAGGATTTTCAGCCACTCTCAGTTATTTATACTCCTAGAGAACGATATTACGCACAAGACACTGCATGGATATGCTATTAACACGAAGACTTTGTCAGTGGCTTCATTCGTGCCCCCGGGAGTTTCTAAGCGGGCTGGGGTCATTGTTTCTGCGTATGGGAAACTTTATCATCTTGCAGCTCCAGTACACCCCGAAAAACTATCCTTTGACAGTTACGATCCTGCTACAAATCTGTGGACGCCTCTGCCAAAGTTTCCATTTTATTCTACGTATCCTGCCAATATGCGTATAGTTGGTCATGCCGTTTGCTATGGCTTTATTTTGTTTTCAATGTGTGACCGCAATGAGCCCAAAGCCGCAGCTTTTCATGCGAGTACAAGTGTATGGCGTGAAGTGAAAATTGACACTTATGCTTTTGTTCCTTTCCGAGGGAGGGCCGTGGTCGTAGGCCAGACTATCTATGCCTTATCTCAATATGGAACGAACATTCTAGCATTCTCCTTCTTCTTAAAGATGGATGAAGGTGATTTTGCTTGTTCACTAAACGCACCATTAAGATTGCAGGGCCTGGAGGTTCGGGGTGGGCCATTTACATGTGGTGCTAAGCAAACAGAGTATTTGGTTCATTTGGGGAACAATGATTTTTGTCATATCCGAACTGCCCAGAACGATGAAATTTATTGTCGTCAATATCTTTGTATAACCACGTTTCAAATTGTTGTTGGAGAAGGAGGAAGTTGTATCAAGACCTTATATTCAACTGTTTTTCATGTGGATGTTAGTCACTCTAGTACTTTCTATATTACATTCAGCTTCGCCCCGTAAGTTTTCTTCACGTTTTTGTGTTTTCATCTATAACATTTGGGATTCTCTTACATTTTGTATGTAACATGGTTTATGATTATTTTGACTAAGTGAGTGCGAGGATTTTGAACCCGAAGAAGAGGAGGAGAGTGTAGAAACAAAGTGCAAGGTAAGTTACCATCCTCACATCACTCGTAATTAAATTACTTGGAGATATTTTAAAAAGGGAAAAGGAAAAATATATGGGAGGAAGAAGAGTTTCTCGATATGCCTAAGCTACCTGCAGCTGTGATACCTGAATATATTTTTTTGTTTCCATTGGGAAAACCGATTTGATCTAGGTCCTTTATCAGTCATGTCAAATTTTTTGGTACAGTTTGGGTGATTTGCTCTGTGGTTTTTTGTGCCCTCATCGGCCAACAAGGGCACAAAAACTGTCACAAGTGCAAGAAGTGTGTCTATATGAAATCTTTTCATTTATATAATGACCATGAATCTAGAAACTCAATTGTTTTTTGCATGTATGTAAGTGTTTTTAATCAGCCTCTGAATCTTTGTTTCGCAGTGACAAGCTGTCGAGCATGAAGTATTAAAGCAGAAAATAGCAAGCACGAAAAAGCCAAGCAACAGGAAAAACCGAATTCGTGGCAAATGTAAAGAGAATATTGCTGAAGAAAGCACTTCCTCTTATCCATTTACCTCTGTTGATGCTCCATATGTTGAGTAATAAACTGAACTTCTTAGTCTTGGATTTTGTTTATCTTGTAATTACGGTTGAAACCAATGTGGTTGCTTTGATGCAAAAGTCACAATTGTAACCTAAATAAAAAATAATATATATATATATATATATAATTCATATAACTTCATAAAATGAATCAAAATATGACTCGTCTTGCTTTTTTTGATGCAAAAGTATCAATTAATTTTACATAATTAAGTTTTTCTATCATGTCTTTTTCAATGGATAACATAGCTAAATCATTCTATCTTTCTTGTGACATAGTTGACCGAAGGTAAAATTTAATCAACTTCAACTTTGAAAACCTTCTTTCTACATGTTTCAATAAAGTGCGCTTTTTTATTCCTTACGTCGAGCACAGTAGATTTCATATATGCTGATATTCAATAGAGTGCTTGTTTTTTCGTTTCTTTTCCTTTTGTCGAGCTCAGCATATATTTATGCTACTAGTTTTTTTTTTTTGGAGTTTCACTAAAACACCTAAAATGGGAGCTGAAATTATAAAAAAACCCAAAACTCTAAACACTTTATAAACACACCCAAAATCCATCATTACACACACTCAAAACCCATTTATAAACACACCCAAAAAATATACAATTGTTGACTTTG